TCTCTGCGTCCAGGAGCTGCCGGCTCACAGCACTTACCCGCTGCACCCGTGGTTGTTGAAGTTCTGGGCGCAGTCGACCAGCTGCTGCTCCGACTAGGGAAATACTTGGAGTCAGTGCATGTTCCCACCATCTCTCTGCCAGTCATTTTAAATACAACATCGATGGCAAGCAACGCAACACCGTAGCCCTCTGCTACCCAGACAGACGGTGTTTGTCCTGGATGACTAGGAAGTGCCAGACCAGGTCCGAGCCGGGGTCCTTGCTGCTCCCAGTAGCACATATAAGGAACCCTGAAGCAGGCAATGGCAAATAATCCATCCCCAAGGGATATTCATCCCGTCCTCATGCCCCCAGGCAGCGCGACTGGTGCTTTCCAAAGCTCCTGCTCATCTTTGCTCCGTGCTACAACAGCTCCGGATGCCCCAGGAGGCCTCAGAAAGGCCTGGGCCCTGCCTGAACTCTGCTCCACTCTACTCATCACTAAACCAAAGCGGCGTGAGAGCCCAAGAATGAATTATAGCAGCCTGTTCTCCTTTGCCCTCTCCTGGGCTGACTCGTCCTGCAGCAGTGAGTCCCGCCAGTTCACAGTCTGCAGTGCAAGGGTGAATCTGCTAGCTAACCCAGGCGAGCAGCTGAAGTGCAGCTATTGCAATGACCCTTTCCCAGGCAAAAGGCCCTGCCTCAGCCTGGAGCGACAAGGCTCTTGGATACAACAAGGAAACGGGTTCCCCGCCGCGCCCCCGGCTGCCTTGCTGGCTCAGCATGGGCGCAAGGCACCATAGCGGGGAATATGCTAGCACGTGGCCCAGACCATACAGGGGAGCTGCCAGGGGACTGGAGGCCCGGTCGAGGGCTCGAAGCGGGCTGCCCAGGGGCCCTAGCACGAGGCCGGGTCCCCGGAGCAGAGCGCAGGCCAGGGAAGCTCTTACCAGCATCAGGAGCTTTCCTGTCTTGATGGCGATTGCAGACTCGAGGCAGCCCGTGGTGGAGAAGGTCCAGCAGCTCCCGCAGCCGCCCTGCATCGGAAACCAAGCAGCCGGGGGTTAAGAGCCCCGAATGCACAGGGTGGGGGGACAAAGCGCCAGCTCTCCTTGGTGCTGGGGGGCAGCGCTGCTAGCGGGGACGTCATTAGCTCTCGGGGACTTTCCCCCTTGCTTTATACAGAGCATCCCCTTCCCTAACCAGTCCGCCTGGACATAACCCCTGGAGGGGTCCCCCAGGACCTGCACGAGACCTCCCCCGTGCTGTCCAGGGGCCCTTGTCCAGCCAGCCCCTGGTCAGTCCCAGGATGGCCACCGCTTTCCTACCTGGTTTTTCACCGGGGTCACGTAGTTTCCTTTCTTCCTCCAGTCGATGGCGCTGGGGCAGGGCCCCGAGCTACGTGGCAAGTTGCTCCGCGTGGCCGAGCAGTTCTGCAAGAACGGGGGGAACATCGGGCTGAGCCACGGCCTGCACCGCACGCGGTGGAAACACCACGAGCGCGCCACGGGGGTAATGTCCCAGCTCAGCTGCCGGGGCCGGGCTCCCGACTCAGCACCGTGCGTGGGGCGAACGGAGAGCATGTGCGAGGGTCCCCATCCTGGGCAGTGCTGAGCCCCCAGGGAAGTCCATGCTGGGGTGGGGTGCTCAGACCTGGGCACTGTACTGGGGCCCAGCCTGGCAGATCCTTTTGAACTCCTTCCAATGAGGATGTTTCTTTTATGCTTCGATCTGAAGCCGAGGCCCCTAGCACGTTGGGCACGCCTCTAGTGTATTTGTCATGGGAGAAAAACGGGTGTTGTTTCACAGGTGACGATGCCCCTCACCCTCTGCACCTCCCTTTTCGAAATCTTAGAGCCATCAGAAGGGGCAGCATGGATTGACTATGCCCCTCCCGCCCCCCAAACTCAGCCCAGCTCATGGGTTTTCCTTCTGCTTTCCAAGGGATGCACAGATCTGCAAGGGCAGGAGCCCGGCACTGCCTTTTGCTGCACAGACGCCCGAGACTATAAGCAGAGGCAGCCCCGAATAAACCCCAGGTGCGTGGAGGGGGCCCCGGGACAGCACGTGCCGACGGCCCCCGAAAGCCCTGCGCACGCAGGACAGGCCTGCCCACCTGCGGCTCGCTCCAGAGGAATCTCTTCTTAAACTCGGCGAACGTCAGGTCTGAGAACTCGTTTAGCCCCACTGGAAAAGACGAGGAAGGAGAAGGGGGTTTACTCCCCGCGCTGAGCCGAGCCTGCTGCAACGCAAGAGAGGCCCGGGAAGCAACCCCGCGCCCGGTCCTACTTTGGAAGGAGTGGTTCCCGGCGTTGTGCCGCTCCACCCGCCTCTTGTTGCCGGCGAAGATCCGGAGCCGGCTGTAGTACTCCCCCTCGCTGTACCACTTGCCATGCTAAGGGAGACACAGAGGGTGTGGGTGGCAGGTGCAGGATGAGGCCCAGACTGCAATGCTGCATGGGACCTTGAGTAGTGCTGAGTGCCACAAAGCCACACAAACCGGGGCTCAAGTTTTCAAGTTCAGGTTCAGCCCTTGGCAGGGCCCGGGCAGGGGCTGCCGCGGCACGAGGTGCTTTGGTGTGAACCGACCCACGCCTCCTCCCGGCAAGGACTGCCCTTGGCGCAGCGAACGGGGGCCCGAAAACACGGCGGCTTTTGTCTGGAGCCGCGTGTGCTGCTGCAGCCAGGGATTAGCACTCGCTTTTCTCTCTGCGGCTGAGCACCCCGACCAGCTTGGAAATCCCTCCCCAGAAAGTCCCTTGGCGGGCGAAGGGGCTCAGCAGACCGAAACCAGGCTGCTTCTCTGCTTTGCAGAAGTGCGGGAACGGCTCGAACATCTGCTGGTGGGTGGGAACCCGTGACGCTGTTTCGGTTTCAGAAGTGAAGTTGGCTTACCTGCAGCATCCAGGACCTAAATTGAATCTCCTCTGGAAGAGAGAGAGAGAGAGATGAAAGTACAGCGCTGGGCTCCTAGGGCAGGGGGGCTCCGGTCTGGGGTGCAGCTGCTAGCCCTGGGCAGCCACCCCACCCCACCCCACCCCGCGGGGGCTCGCATGCCTTTCATGCAGGCAGCCGCGGTGGAGCGGCTGCCTTGCTGGAAAGCCCCACTCGCCACTGCAAGGCCACAAGCCACCGCCACCATGGCCGCGAGGCATGCATGACAGTGCTGTCACGAGACATGCATGAGAGCATGCCCCAGACCTCAGGGGGCCGCGGGGCACTGGGTCCCCTGCCCCCCTGGGCCGAGCATCACTTGCTCGCGCAGCCGACAGCGGGGTTTGCTTGCCCTGGACGCTCGGTCCTCCCCTCCCTACAGCCCGGCACAGAGCTGGCCGCTGACCGGGCTCCCTCTGCCATCAGGAATCAGGCTGAAGCCCTCGCTGTGCTCCGTGATCAGCACAAACAAGGGCACCGTGCCAAAGGCGGGGGCCAGCGACGGACGGGAAACAGAATTGAAAGCGCTTGTCCGGTCGCCCGCTCCCTCTGGAGCAGAGCAAGCAAGGAAGGGGCACCGTGCATCCCTGCGACATGCAGGATCGGGGCCCCGCACGGCGAGACCGCTCTCTGCCAACCCCGCAGGTCACCGAATGCAGCCGACCTTTGTGTCCCCGGGAGCACCCATGCGGGGGATCCATCTCCCGGCCCCCCATGCAGCACTGAGAGCAGGCAGACCACTCGCCCACCTCCCCTGGACCCTGGGATGCCCAAGGTGCTGGGGGCTGCCTGGATTCTGGCAGCCTGGCGCGAACGTGGGTCGCCCCGCAGCCCCCCTTCCCTTTACCTTCAGCAGTGACCGTGTGGGAGCCGGCAGCAGCGGTGACGGAGACCACCGTGGCAGCAGCCAGCAGCCAGCACAGAGGTGGTCGCATCCTGGCCACGGCACGGACCAGCTCCCTTCAGCCCGGCTGCAAGGCTCGGATGGGGTCTGGTCACGTGAGACGAGTGTGCAGGGGGGGCTGGCCATGGCTGCAGCAGAGCGGGGATTGCTGGGCTGGAGGAGGAAGTGCCAAAAATGCACTTGCAGCAGGGCCAAGTCTCAGCCCTGGGGGTGGGGGAGGAGTGGAGCAAGGATCACCCTGGTCCAAGGTGCAAGGAGGGCTGAGTGCGAACGCCAGGAGGGAGAGGGCCATGCAGCAGAGCGGGGCAGCCTGAAAAGGACTCAGGCAGCTGGCTGGGCCCCGATCCTGAGCCTAGGATCCTGGGCAGAGCCCCAAGGGACCGCCCGTACAGGAGCAATCTCCGCTTGCGTGTCAGGTGCAGACAGAGAGCAAAGTCCAACACATTTGTAAGCAGCAAAGCCTCTCCCTAGGAGGAGGACTGTGCGGTTTGTGCTTCGCTGAGCACGCCGGGACTCTCCCGCCTTTGCACGGCTTCCCCTGGACACCCCACGGCTCCCGCGGCGCAGCGGAGGTCAAGGGCGCAGGGTCTTGCGCTGCTGCAGGCACGGGGACCGCTGCAGCAAACCTGCCTTCGCAGCAAAGGGGTTGCATCCTGCCCGGTGCCAGCGCAGGGGTCCTGGAGCGGGGGTCTGTGCACCTGGCAAATGGTGCTGAGCACCTCCGCTTGGCCTGGAGGCGGGCACGAGGTTGCCTGATGGTCCGCAGGCGTGGAGGAAACCCGCTGGGCTGCACAGCGAGGGGTTTCTCCCCAGCCAGGTGGGCGATGGGAAAGGGCCCAGATTCATTGCACCAAGGCGCTGTGCAAGGGGATCTGCAGACCCCATGCTAATCCCGCTCTGGGAATACGGGGGGGAGCTCAGCCCCTGCTCGCGAGTCAAACCGGACCCTACATAGGAGCATGTAGGAGCCACGAGACTGGGGTCCTGTTGGGCCTTTCCCAACAGCCTCCTTGAACGAGTGCGTCTGGCTCTGGGTCGGGATGGAGCGCACGGTCACCCCGGCGGTCAAGGGCACGTCCCCTTTCCCCTCCTGCCAGTCCAGCCCGAGTCGCGAGATCGAGCCGTCTCCTTGCTGCGGGCCGATAAGCGGCAGCAGCCCCGCGGCGCCCGCGACACAGGGCACTCGAGGCTTACGGCACGTTTGCTAAAACAATGCCGCGCCGTGTCCGGCGCGGTAGGAGAAGGATGCCGGCCGGGCCACTCGCTCCCTAGAGACTCACCGGCCACCATCGCCGTGGGCGTTCGACCTGCCATGCCAAGTCCCGGGTGACTTCAAGGGACATTTGCTTAAGAGGGAGGTCAGGGACTCGGCTACGGACAAAGCAGCAGCCAGAAAAGGCAGCTTGGACGTGCCGCCGTAGGAATAAGCCACGCGCTTACCTCCGAGCCCCACTGGACCCTGCCGTCGCTCTCCTGCACCTCTCTCCTCCTTGCTGATGCAGTTTCTCCCTCTCTGTGAATTTGCCGCCTGGTCAGCATCCCACTTGCATGCCAGGCGGCTCCTTCAAGCTCTCCCTAACTTTTGAGGTTTTTAGACCTCATTTGACCTTGGGAAGAGCGAACCAATCTAGCACGCGTGAAGACAGACAGGCAGCAGCAGCCCAGCCAGCTCCGTGATCCTCAACCGGGGTCCTGCAGCACTCCTCCAGCTCCATTCAAGGAGGGTAGGCGTGCAAACAGGAGGCACGGGATGAACCCAGAGAACCCTTACGTGGGCATCAACCTGGACGCCGATCCTTTTGCTTCAACTGATCGTGGGTTAAAAGTCCTGTCCTTGGTTGTACCTCGATGCTGGTGGGAGATGCACTCATGTTAACAGAGACATTTGTTGGCTTATGCGTGCGCCCAGCTGTGCCCATGGCCGGGTTGTTTTCAAACCCTTCAAGGCGAAAAGGTGGAGATGGGGATGGGGGTGGAGAGAAGAGAAGAGAGGCAGGAGGATGGGATCCAGCAGGATCCTATAGAAGGGTGTGGACACATTGGAGAGAGTCCAGAGGAGGGCAATGATAATGGTTGTGGGCTGGGGGACAGGACTGGTGAGGAGAGGAGGAGGGAACTGGGCTGATTGAGTCTGTAGAAGAGAAGACCGAGGGGATCGAATAGCAGCCTTCACCTCCCCGCAGGGGGGCTGCAAAGAGGACGGAGCTGGACTGTTCTCAGTGGGGGCAGATGGCAGGACAAGGAGCAATGGGCTCAAGCTGCAGCAAGGCAAGTTGAGGTTGGGTATTAGGCAAAACTTTCTCACTAGAAGCGTGGTGAGGTACTGGGACGGGTCATCTAGAGAAGTTGTGGGATCTCTATTCTTGGAGGTGTTGAAGACCCAGGTAGACAAAGCCTTGGCTGGGATGATGGAGTTGGGGCTGGTCCTGCTTGGAGCAGGGGTTGGACTAGATGTGACCCCCTGAGCTCCCTCCAACCCTATTATTCTCAGCCTGAGAAGAAAATCTCTCTGCTCAAATGCATGGACAGAAATCAGTCTCTAAGAGCCACTTCTAGGAAGAACGGCGTCTCCACAAGAAACTGCTGGACACTGGACTGCAGAGCAGGGTGAGAAAACCATCTCATCACCCACCTCCAAGGAAATGCCACAGACACAACCCCCACCACACACACTCACACTCCCAGGGAGCTCTTTGCTCTCTGCTCGGGGCTCTTGTACTAACACACACACGACCGGGTCACATCGCACTCTCCGTGCCAATGCAAGTCCGATCGCTGGTTTAGTGGAAACATCCTTACCTTGAACTCCTGAAGCTAACGAGCCCTGATGGGCCTCAGCCCCTCGCAGGAACAAGCCCGTGGTCCGACCAGACCCGGCGTTCACGTTCGCATCTGCCCCCTAAACGAGGCGCCTGGTAGGCGCTAGCAAAACGACCCTTCACCAGAACAGACATGTGTAAGCACGGAGGTTGATAAGAAACCTCTCAAGTCCCCGTTCACCCTGAGATAGAATAGATTTATTAGCAAGAGGTAATCAGGAAACATATATTTTTACAAAAATGGAAATATTTTTCCAAACAAGCTGTAAGTTGAAATATTGTAGGGCTTGAAATAGAATTCTCATACCACTCGGTATTGCTTACAGCAAAAGTCTCGTTTGTTCTCGTGGAGCATGCCTGCCACTTTCAAGTTAAACTGTGTTTATATACTGTACAATGTAAAAAATACATGGTAAATATTCACAGAATAAGCACTACATTACTATATTCCTGCTAGAAGAATTACAGGATTACAGTATATGTAATAAAAACACTCGGTCATTTTGTTCTAATTCTACATCGTGTTACTAATAGTCACCAGGGATACAGATGGAGAGCATATCAACAGGAGCTTGCCGTGAGTGAGATGCGGCTAAAGAAGGAAAAAGATGCATTTCCGCTCCCCGACTGCATGAGCTCTGCGTGGCGGACCGTGTACTGCACGTGTCAGCGGTCCCATTCCCTTGACCGTCCTGCTGCCCCCGGGACGGGGCCACCGAGACCCGGCGGCGCTGGCTCCCCGGAGCACACGGCGCGGGGGCGAGGGGTACGTGAGGCATGCTGAACCCGTGCCCGGATCGCGTGTCCAACACCACGGCCGTGTTCGGGGCGCCAGAGGACGGTGACTAGAGCTGTACACGTGATCGCTTGGGGGTGCCTGCTCTCCCCTTCCCTCCTGCTCCCCCCGGTCCCTCCCCGCCCCCCGCCCCAGAAGAACAAATGACAAAAATAACATCGATTAAAATAAACCGGGACTGTATCCAACAATGTTTATGCGTGAATCCTTAAAACAATGCAGGGAGGCCTATGCCAGGGTCTACGGGGGTCTAATAACAAGGCGGAGAGGTTTCCTCCGAGAAGCACATACTACGAAGTCAATCTAGGGCGTCCAACAGAAACGAGTAGGTATATACATATGATATAGCATGTGTACACGGGGCTGCCGCCCGCCCCTCGCCTTCAGGTCGGCAGCTTGGGCTCTATCCGTAGGGAGGCTTCGTAGAGGCTCTCCTCGTCCATCACGAACGACTGGTCCAGCAAGTACTGCGTCACCTGGGGAAGGACATGGGACCGGCGGAGTCACACCGGCCCCCGGGGCTGGCGCGCGGAGGCTGCCGCGTGACCAGCGTGTTGGTGGCTCTGCCCTCCTCCAGGCCTGTCCTCTGCCGGGAGCGCACGCCCCTGCAACCGAGCGAGGGTGCGCTCGCCCACCCGGGAATCCAGCCGGGCACGGCCAGGGCTTTAGCTGAAAGGCCCGGGAGGACTTTTTGGCAGCGTTAGCGGCGAGGTCCAGGCCACTGCAGGGGGGCAGGCAGAGGCACGGATGGACCGCGGGGCTCGTGCAAGCCGCTTGGAGCTGGCTTTTGCCAGGCAGCACTTCAGCTGGGGAAGAGGAGGCCTGGGAAGCTGCTTGGGTTGCAGGCGGGGAATAAGGAGCTGGTTTGCGTGCGTGGCATGTGTACAAGTGACAGAGGGAGACATGCACGTGTAATGAGTGAAGAAAGAGAAACATGCGTGTGCATGGCATGTGTGTGACGTGTACAAGTGAGAAGAGAGACATACATATGTGGTGTGTGCGCATCTGAGTGAGAAGAAGGAGACGTGTGTGTGCATGGCACGTGTGCATGAGGGAGATGGAGACATGCATGTGTATGAGTGAGAAGAGGGAGACGTGTGTGTGCCTGGTGTGTGTATGAGTGAAGGAGACATGCATGTGTGTGTGTGTATGAGTGAGAAGAGGGAACATGAGCGCGCGTTGTGTGTGTGTACTGTGCACGTTTGAGTGAGACGAGGGAACATGAGTGTACGTTGTGTGTAGTGTGCACGTATGAGTAAGAAGAGGGAACATGAGTGCGCGTTGTGTGTGTGTAGTGTGCACGTCTGAGTGAGAAAAGGGAGATGCATATATGTGACGTGTGTATGAGTGAAGGAGATGTGTGCGTGCGCGTGTGTGGTGTGTGTGAGTGAGAAGAGGGAGCCACGCGTGTGCATGGCCTGTGCGTGTACAAGAGAGGGAGACGTGGTTTTGCACTTCAGCCCCCCGGGAGCTGCCGCGGCTCCAGAGCTGGCAGCACGGGGCTGGGCACTGCCCTGCCATCAAGGGGCAAAAGGGGCTGTCAGCTCCCCTGCCAGGCGGGCACAGGGCAGTGCTGCAACGACCCACAAGCTCCCACTGTGTGCCCTGCCCGTCCCAGCCCCTGAGTCCCCGTGTCAGAGCCCGGCCCAAAACAGGTCTACTCAGCACTGTAGTCTGCAGAAGAGAAGACCGACGGGGATTGAATAGCAGCTTCACCTCCCTGCAGGGGGGCTGCAAAGAGGATGGAGTTGGACTGCTCTCAGTGGGGGCAGATGGCAGGACAAGGAGCAATGGGCTCAAGCTGCAGCAAGGGAAGTTGAGGTTGGATACTAGGAAAAACTCTGTCATGAGGACTGTAGTAACGCACTGGAATGGGTTACCCAGAGAGGTGGTGGAGTGTCCATCCTTGGAGGTGGTTAAGACCCGGCTAGACTAAGTCTTGTCTGGGATGACATAGATGGGGCTGGTGCTGCTTGGAGCAGGGGGTTGGACTAGATGTGACCTCCTAAGGTTGCTTCAACCCTCATTTTCTACGATTCTCCAGGCTAATCCTATTGCATAATCTGCTGCAAGCTGCAGGCTGCACCAAGAGCGAGTGCAGGGCTGAGGACAGGAGCTCCAGCTCTGCAGGGGAATGGGCCGGAGCAGCCGCCCAGAGGCACAGCGGCTCTCCTAGCACGTAGGATGCAGCCGAGCATCTGACAGGAAACCCCGGAGAGGCCGCTTTAAGGAGCAGAGGTCAGCACCAGCACGGCCATCATGCAGCTTTCCATCCTGGCTCCTGGCACAGGGCCGTGGAGGGTGGAAGCCCGGGGTGGACTCAGGATTTGGCAAAGGGGGGCGAGGGAGCAGCCACCTGTGCTGCATGGAGGGCTCCACCCTTATTCCCAGGCTCTTCCCACCAATGCATCGGTGTGGGCAGACCGAGCTGTCGGGCCTCTGGGGTCTTTTCTTTTCCTTTGCCTCCGTGCTAAGAGGTGCATCCCCCCTTCTCCAGTCGCTGCTGCTTTCCCTGCTCTTCTAGGGGAAGGGGACGCACCGGAGCCGCTCCTCCCTCTCCAGCTGGGCTGGGCAGGGAACAGCGGCAGCAGCAACGGGGAGGGGGTGGGTTCCCCCACGCTGCCTGGTGCCCCCAGGAGCAGACATAGGAAACCACCACTGCTGTCATGGGCCTAGGTGAGCCCAGCTGGAGCGGGGCAGGGGCCGCTCTGGAGGTCCCCCTGCCCCCGGGACACCCCCATCCACTGGAGGAGGGCAAGGGAGGGGATGCACCTCTGAGCACAGAGGGAAAAGGGGGAGCCTTTTCCACTTTGGGGACTTTTTAAAGTCCCAAGAGCATGGACTGGTTGGAGAAGGGGTGCAGCCATGCCACTGCACCCCTTCTGGGTCCACCCTGGTGGAGGCTGTTGAAGGAAAAGTGAAAAAAGCAGCCGAGCCATCAATATCCCGGGAAGAGAGAAATGGGTGCAGAGCTCCGATCTCTCCAGACCAGCTGGGAGGCGACTCCATCGCATGCATGAGCTGGAAGCCCAGAGCCGACGAGCTCCCCAGGTCCAGGCATCCCTTTGTTATCACTCCCCAGCCCTCGCGTCCAGCACAGACAACGGTCTGCTCTGTCCGGCAGGACTCCTGTCGTGGGGTCCTTGGACCAGTCACTCCAAGTGGCAGGAGACACGAGGCAGGAAAGAATCCCGTTTGCTTTGGAGGGACGGCAGCCGTGCAGCTTAGCCAGGGCCGGGGCAGGTATCTGGGGGCGTCCCTGACTGCCTGTGCTCTCTGCCCTGCTTTGCTGGATGGCACGTGCCTGCTTGCAGGGTGCACCAGCAAGTCTCCGTTTCCCCAGCCCAGCCCTTCCTGCTGTCCTCCCTCATGGCACCGTCCTTTCTGAGCCATCACATCCTTTCCAGAGCGTACCAGGTTGCACGGTTGCAAAGGCTCCTGGGTGGGTCAGGGCAGCAGACTGGGGGGCAGGGGGCTCTGGGCGGGGGGGACATACCTTGGGCTGATGCTCGATCTTGTAGGAGGTCTGCTGGAACTGGCGGATCTCTCGGATGATGTGGGAGATCTGTCCAGAGAGACAACCGAGCACGTGTCGCTGTCCTGAACCAGCAGACTCCCTTCCACACCCTGGACCCCCGGGGCAGGACACCGTCCGCTAGCAAACTCGGAAGCAAAATGTTATTTGGCTTCCACTGCAAAGCGCTCTCTGTTTCGTGAACAGACAGCCAGCCCCTCCTCGGGAAGCACGCCGTGGGCACACGCGTGCGGGCAACAGGGTCTGGATGATAGCAGCCGTCCCCCTTACACCGCGCGGCCTGTCAAGCCTCTGGGCCAGCGACGGTAAAGGCTAGGTATTTGTGAACAGGAGATTCCTGACCTCGTCCGGAGCTAGCGCACCGAGCCCCCGTCTGACTCACCATCCGCATCTTGGAGAAGTTCACCAAGCCGTCCTCCGTGTAATTCGGGGTCCCCTCCTCTATGAAGGCCAGGTCCGTCAGGTACATGCCCAGGTAGGGGACGCAGGGCGGGTCGCAGCTTAGGAGCAGAGCGGAGAGGAGGGAACCCGGTTACTCCTTGTTCGAGGACCCCCGACCCCGTGGGGGACCGTGCGGCAGACCAGCCGCTTTGTGGCCGCTGGAGAAGGCTTTGCTGCAACCCCCGGGGGCTCTGCAAGGCACCAAGAGGTGGTACAGCGAGGGCTACTTCTCCTCTCCTCCCCCTTCAAAGGTGGGAAAAGTTTGGGCTCCGTTTCCAAAGCAAGGCTGAGCTGCCCTCCCGCACCGCTGTGCCGGATCAGGCCCGTGTCTGACTCAGCTGCGAGGTAAATCCCAGCCGGGGTCTGGGCTGGGATGCACCCTGCTCTGCAAGCACTGCTGCAGGTGAACAAGGCAGGGATGGGAGCCGGGGGCCAGGGCTGGGATCGATCCTGGAGCCCCGCGCTCTAAACCGGTCCTTTCGGCTTCAAAGCACGTGACTTTATGCAGATAAAACGTCCCGTCCCTGGCATTATTCCCCTCCTTCATTAAGGCATGTGGTGACGGTCCTGCTGTTGGCTGCTCCCCAAACCCAGGAGCATGCAAAAGGACGAGCACGAGGCCCCAGTCTCCGTTGCAGGTGCCCCGGGATGCCGGCCGCCGGCCACTTACTTCTTCAGAGCTTCCCTCAGGTTCTTGAACCTGCCCTCCGACGACACCAGCTTCTGCAGCTTGTCGATGAGCGCCTTCGTCTGCAAGACCCAGAGCACAGCCGGTGAGGGGGCGGCGCTGGGGAAAGCCCCGTTGCCCCCGGGCACACGCAGCCTTGCTGGACCACTGCAAGGGCTGCTGGGCGGGCAGATGAAACCAGCCCTGCCCTGCAGCGACAGCAGCCCGCGCTGGCCTCAAGGCTTGGAGTATCCTGCCTCTGCCCAGAGAGAGTCAGGGCAGGGCCGGGTGATGTCTCCAGGACATCATAGCTCCAGGGAGATGCGCAGACTCAGCGCCACGGCTGCATTCGACGAACCTGGGCCCCGTTCCCAGGTCTTGGGTTTTGAGAGGGAGTGCGTGGAAGTATACAAGTCTATAGAAAACGTCATCTGAAAGGATGTGGGAATGGCCGGTTCCAGCAGTGAAATGGTCACCGGGTGGGGGTTGAAAGGACTGTTGTCTGTCAACAAGCCTGTACTTTTCAGTTTAAAGTATAAATAAAAACCAAACACTGCAGTTTGGGTGAAAGCAAATGCTCTCATCAAGCTCAAAGAAATTTAAAAATATATATATTTCCTTCATCAATTAATGTTGGCAATTAGTGACCTGGAATGAGGATTTTTTTTTTAAAGATTTCCAGTGACCGGGAAACGCCAACCCCCACCGTGCCGCACCCCTGCGGGTACATCGCCCCTTACACAAAGCAGCGCCGGGGACTAGACCAGGGAGCCACCCCCCGGCTTCGGGGGCGAGTGGGCTTTGCTTATAGTCTTGCAAGCCCGGCCCTTGTGCCTGTGCAAGGGGAACGTCACCTGCTAGTTAGTCCAGAGAGCGGGGCACGGGCCCGGGCACACGCCCACACCGCTATAGGGCTGTACAGGGCACCGTCCAATACCACGGCAGGTGCTGGGGCCAGGTCCGCGGGTCGCCTCTGTCCCTGCAGGGCAGCGTGGAGCAGTATTGGAGGAAACAAGCAGGAGACCCTCTTACCCTGAGGGGCGGGGGGACCCGGTTTAGGGAGAGGCATCTGCTCCCAATGCAAGAGCAGGCACATCTGCTAGGGCCTGTGGCGTTTCTCCGGGAGAGACTCGCGTCCCCCGGCTCTACTCTGTGCAGCCCCTTCGGTGCTAAGCGGAGGCTGTTTCTCAGCTAGCAGAGAGCGTAGCCCCACCGGCTGGACCCTGAACCCCTTCCGGAAGCACAAACGGGGCACATTGCATCTCGCCTGCTTCACGGGTACTTAAACCGGGGCAGCGGACTCATAGGAGGCCTGGACAAAAGGCTTTCTCCCAGGAGAAACGCGGGGTCTATTTACAGCCACACACGTGACGTGTACAAGCGCCCACAGCGGGCACCCGGGCGTCCTGGAGAAGAGCGCCGACCCGCCTGGGAGACCAGCAGCTGCAAAGGAGGAGCCAATCGCGCCGAGCGAGCAAGTCCTGGGTCCCAGCAGGCTGTAAACATGAGCTGTGCTTGCGGTATCCGAAGTCAATAATATTGAAGCCAAGGGACTAAATCCAGCCTGCAGACCCCACCCTGACTGTCTGCGGCCGAGTCTGCCTGCCTGGGATGACCCTGCCTAAACCTTTGATTTCTCACCGCTCAGAAACAGGGAAGAGCAGCTCTCCTGCAAGCCCCCTGCGTGCCCTGGCCTGGAGAACACCAGCTCCAGCGACACGCGGGGGTGCTGGAGCGGTTGCAGACGGGCCATTTTAGACAGGCCGACCTGCATTTCTGTTGCAGATGCTGCAGCTGTCCGTGCCCACAGGCCTGGAAGGAGGTGCACGCGGATACCACACATTAATGAGCCTCCTAGGATCAGAGACATTGAGGGCTGGAAGGGAGCTCAGGTGGTCACATCTGGTCCAGGACCAGCCCTAACTCCATCATCGCAGCCAACCATGCCGGAGTGCCCCGGTCCTTTTGGACAAGGATCTCAAGAGGCGTCAATGCCTGCCCTGAGAGCGACACCCGTATTTCGAGGCTGGTTTGCTCTGGTGCCTGGGGAACATATCACAGCTGAACAAGCCCAGTGGTTTCACTTCTGCTTTGGCTGTTTCCTCGGGGATGTCTGGCATCATATCCACCGCGTCCCGGCGCCTCGCCCTGCAACTGCTCTGTGTATCGCACTACTCTTCCACCACGACAGCCTCTGCCCCCAAGCGCTGTGCGCAGCCCCCACGTGCATTAAGGGGACTGTGCTAATACCCCAAAAGACAATAGTTAGCTGACCACTTGGCCACCTGTCATTGCACCGTGACCTGATGGACCTAAAGGGCCAGAGGGGAGCCCGAAGCACAGCCCTGCGGCTCTGAACTCCTGATGCCAGGCTGGACCGGTCCTGACCCCCAACGTAGCCATGCTCCCACCCGAGAAGGGCTTTCTCCCCCGTGTGCCAAACCTCCAAGCCACACAGGAGCAGGGCTACCGGGGATTTCTTTTACTGTAGGAACATGCCGCTCCTCCCATTTCTTCCCCTCTCTTGCCCCCCGCTGCAGCTGATGTGGGGCTCTCCAGAGCCACTCCTGCCCCCTGGCAGCTGGGCTGCAGACAGCGGCAGCAGATGGGGTCCCTTCCCCGCACCTGCTCCCGGGCTGTCCCGGGGCACAGGGGACTGGGCAGGAAGGAGGGACCTGCCATTGCTGCTGTCCCTGGCTGAGCCCAGCTCCCTGGAAGGAGCGGTCCAGAGCGGGTCTGGAGCATCCTGCCCCCAGAGCAGTGGGAGAAAGCAGCAGTAGTGGCTGGGAGACTGGAGGGGAAAAGAAGGGAGATTCTTCTTACTGGAAAACTTAATTTTTAAGTCCCCACCTGCTGCTCCCATGGCGTGGCTGACTGTAAGGGGGGTTCCCCCTGCACCCCTCCGGGTCCACCCCTGTTCCCAGCCCACGTGTACGCTCCTCCACCGCTTCCAGACAGGCCGCATCTCAGCCCAGTACCTGCTTGGACACTTTGAGCCACGTCTTCTTGAGCCGGAAGATGGCACTGCGGTTGAGGGAAGAGGTGATCTCGAGGACGGCGTTGTAGTTGTGCAGGCACCGGCAGATGTCGGCCACCGCCACCCACTTCTCGATGGCGCTCACCCTCACGTTGACGTCCTCGTTCCGGACAATCTCGGAGGCGATCAAGTTACTGACCTTCGGGAGGGGAGAGGTTACAACCCCCGGTCAGGAGCTCTTTCGATAGACAGGGCTCCGTGCGGTTGTAGCCGTATGGCTTTTAGCCTTAGGGCCGTCTCATCGCTGCAGGGGTAAGAACCCAGGAAGGGACTCGGCTGGATCCTGCTGCCGGCCTCTCCACACCAAAGGATGCTAATACATAGCAGTGCCAATGCAAAAGTCTCCTGCGACCCCATTTGTCCTGCTCCGGCTGTTATTGCCGCCTGCTGGCGTGCGGACACGGCAAGGACAGGAGCTGCGTGACCAGCTGCAGCCTACACGGCCCCGGATGCTGCCGGGCACACGCACACGTGCTGAAGTTCAGCCGTAAAGTCAATGGGACATGTGCATGTGCTGGAAATGCCTTGCTGACGTGGGGCCTACATCAGCATTGTGGATGGGACTGCAGCTAGCCCATGAAGAAACATAAGTACCTGACATGTATGCGAGCTCTCTTCATGGTAGGTACTGGACTACATGGCCGGATCCTGACTCTTAACTCAGCAGCCTGCACTGCAGAGGGCTGCGTGAAGGGTGCACAGAGCCCCTGAATATCAGGCATGCAAACATCAAGACAGCTTTGGAGTTGACTACAACGGGACTGGAACGTCACCCTAGGTGAGGCACATTAAGCATTTGGATTTGAGCCTGGTGGGCCATGCTTTTAAGCTCGTGATTTTCTGTGATTTCGCTGTTCTTTGGCTCACAACCAAGCCCAGGGGTTCACCTCCAGCCAGGCTAATTAATCAGTGCCGGCTCTGGCTTAGGGACTTCACTTGAAACAGAGACTCAATTCCTTGAGAATGACGCCTACAAAAAGCCCCACAGGAAATCCCAGCCATCAGGTACCAGCATCGCTGCCTGGACTCCTCTCAGTTCCTCCTTCATCCCCCACAACTACCCCCGACAGTCCTGGACTTACGTCATTGAAGTGCTTCGTGTTCTTCATTATGTACGGCGTCCTTTCGTTCTTCTCCAGCTTCATCCAGCCTTGTCCAAAGAACTCTCTGAAAGTGACAGCTCAGGATCAGCTCCCTCCCGTCTCCCCGGGACTACCGAGTTTCCCGTGCAAACGGTCTGGCCCGTGAGATGCTCCAGCAAAGCAACTGGTGCCACGAGAGCCGCTTGCGATGGAGCGGCTGCCCCTGGAGAGCCTGGCAGAAGCTACCGGCTTAGATACAAGGGCAGGGGCTGCAGGGCACAGGCAGCAGAAGGGCCCCGAGGTGCGCTGGGATTCTTGCTAATGGCTCATCACAGTTAGGGTTAGGAACGGCATGCCCTGGGATGTACTGGGGACTGTTGCTTTAAGCCTCTCCAGGCACAGGCAGGGCCAAACCCCTGCTTCTGCACACAGAATAGCCCTGCGTCCTCCCCTGGGCTCCTCTTCTCTGCAGGAGGGAGACGTCCGAGCATGCACTGTGGTCACCCGATGGACTGCAGGCATCAGACAAGCCCTGCTCTCCTGGGCAGCCCAAGGAGGGGGCATTGCCTGTCTGCAGAAACCACTGGCTGTGTGAGACTCAGGGTCCTCCAGGAAGCTGGGGAAGTGCCGTAGAGCAGCTCCCTGTGTGCTCCAAGCTCGGTGAGGGGTCAAGGCAGGCCCAGGCTGGGCACCTCTCGGCCACCCGAGTGCTGGCAGCGCCCGCTCCCGAAGCATGAAGGGCAGTGGGGCCATGTGCCACCTGGTCATTGGGGCAGGGTGCTGGTCCCCAGGAGGGTGGCATCACATCCTCTTGCAAAGACCACCGTGTCTCATGGAGCGACAGCGGGCACCAGGCAGGGGAGAGGGACCGGGACTTACTCGTACGGGATCTTCTTGAAGACCAAGTGATCCAGCAGTGTCAGCTGCTCTGCTATCTCCAGAGCCGAGTGGTTTTCAAAGGGCTCCGCTTTCACTCCCTCCGCCTAAACCACGAAGCCAGGGAGGCTGGTGTTAGTGCAAGCTGGCTACGGGGCCAATCTCGGGGCCGGTGTGCTACAACTACCCGAACCCTGGTGCCAATCTCGGGCCATCTGCTCGGTGAGGCGGCACCGTAGCATCCCCCCAGGGCAACGGGCCAGAGGTTTGCAACCCGGCTTGCGGCCGTGAGGAAGGTGCGCGGTCCACGTACCCCACTCCAGGGACAGTTCTGGGGTCACGGGATGGGCGGACAGAGAGAGAAAGGGCAGCACATCTTGGACCCAGGCTGCTAAACAGGAGCAGCAGTGGGATCGGGGCTTGGAGCCAGGGCCTGCTCCTGCTTCCACGGAGCTCAATACAGACCACTGCCAGTGGCCTCAGGGCCCTAAAGCAATGACCTGGTGCCACTGGATTACGGCAGTGGTGCTCAATCTTCTGGCCCCGCCAGAATCAGGCCCCCATGCCACCCTGACCCAGCCCCAAGCACCAGGGTCGGGCCTTGCACCACCATACGTGCCTGATCCAGGGCTGAGGACCATGCTATCTGGCCCCTGGAAATTTGGATGACCCAGCACCGGGGGCCAGGGGCTGAGCACCCCAGCGCTAAGGGATCCCCTGCTCTGTCTGCTAATACAAGATTAATCATCTCTGCTATTTAAATAACCCCGGCACGCGCATGTCTGCCACAGGCTGGCTCTTTCCCCAGCGCTCGTTGAATCAATTAATAGAGCGCCAGGGAATCCCTGCCACGAAACCACCGCCCAGGCAGAGTGGCTGCTTCTGAAGATTACAAAGAGAACGATCTGATTAGCAATCCGCTTCCCAGCGGCCGCCGGCCCCAGCAACGTGGCTCATTACATGCCTTTAATAGCTAGTTAGCAGAAGAACAGTCTCCCCCTCGCTCGGGGCCAGATGTGCAAGTGCGCTCATCTGTAAGCAGACCCGGTTTGTGCACCCGGCCCTGGCCCCGCCTGCACCTGCGAGCATCTCGATTTATCTAGCATTTGGGGACAGGCATCGGGTTCATTTTGGGGTCAAGGTCAGGGTCTCTCAGCCTGGATGGCCTGTGCATACCACCTGCGATCCTATACTCCTACCGAACTCGCTGTTGGGCGCTTGTACACGTTACGAATTGTTCACGTACACATTATGAAAAATCACCATTTCTCTCGGCTAGTTGTGTAACCAAATACACTTGCATGATTTTTATCGTGTTAGATTTCGATTTATCATGGCAAATTAGACCACCTCCAACATGTTTTAGTTTTACCGCGGCCAATTGTTCTAGGAAGCTGTGTTTTATCGTGACACTTCTGGTTCTCTCTCATAAAAGCTCAGCCAGATTTTCATATCAATAAAACAGCCTAGACACTAGCAATTGGGACCGCTCGCTGTTCAGAGCTGGCCGGGGAATCTGAGTGCATGGTCCCAGCTTGCAACACGGCCCCTAGCTCTGCACGAAGCACCGTTCTCAGCCCCGCCGTGTTACAGCAGACATCCTCGTTCTCACTCGGGTCCTCCCTGAGCTCCGACGGCCGCGGCTGAGCTCAGCCACCGTCAGAAGAGCCTCTACTCTGCATGCAAAGCTTGCCAAGGCAGAGGCTCAGACTCAGGGCAGGAAGACAAAATAAGCAGCACTTGCTCCTTTGCCATCGTACCCCTGCCTGGGGAGCAGGTGTCACCTGTGCTCCCGCGGGCTCGAGCTGCCTGACACGGGGTGCAGAACCCACCCGAGCTGGATGTGGAGCTGGGGGCACATAGCATCCCTTTGCATGGAGTATGTCCTGCTGCAGGGCAGCTCTCAGCCTGCCCGTGGGCCCAGAGAGCAGGCTGCAGCTCTCCCCACACCCCAGCCTCTTGCAGAGGCACTGGTACAAGAGCCCGCCATGCAGAGATGTTATTTTGCATTGGCCGGTCCCCTCCTGCTGTGCATCAGGGAGCCCAGCTCCAAGCACAGATCGTGGCTGGGGGAATCCAGTCCCAGCACCCGGTGTGCAGGGCACGGAGCCCTTGTCTCATTAGCAGGACAGAGGCCATGTGCCTCCACCTGCCTGGCGCTGTGCCTGCTGCCAGGGTACGGCCCACGCAGGCAGTGCGTCTCCTCCCGCTCGGCGGCTCCAAGTGGGCGGTGAAGGGTGCTTCACCCCAGCTCTCCGCTGCTCTCTGGAGCCCAAGGACTGCAGCGGAGCAGGGTCCAGGCACTGCTCGGTCACCTGCACCAGCAAACATCACCTGGGCACGGGGAGAAGCAGCGTGGGGCACAGACCGAGGGTCCCCGCGGTAGGCAAAAAGAGCCTGCTAGTGGTCTCCTGTATTGCTAGGGGTACAATAGGGTCAGCCCTGCCAAGCATCTCTCCTTCCTCTGAGAGCTGGCCGGGGGAACAGGATTCGAGTGACCACTTCAAAACTACTCCCAGCCAGAGGCGAGGACCGCGTGGGAGCAGGCTCCTGGGAACAAGAGCCAAGAGTGTCCTCTGAGCACATCTCAAGAGCACAAGAGAGCCAGGAAGGCCCATTAGCAGGGCACACGTGCGTGGCAGAGAGGGGTCAGATGCTGTTCAAGAGAGGGGGCAGCGCCCAGCCCGAGAGGCAAACACCGCAGCTGGGGCTCTGGGAAGGGGAAAGTCAGATGCCGGAGGGACCCGGACTGGACCCCGGCGCACCGAGCCAGGGCTTTGCACGGACAGACTGCTCAGACCCAGCCGGCCCGGCCTCCGGGGGGAAATGCGCACCAAGTGCGTGTGTGCATGCATGTACACTAAAAGCCAGACCCTCCAGACTGCCAGCTCTCAGGCTCTAACTAGGGTCTCTCCAAATGCCGGCCCCGCGGCTCTGGAAAGCCCAGACTGCGCACGGCTCTTGCCTGCCACAGGTGCTTGAGCTCGAGGTTTCAGAAAAGAGCCGGGACATGTGAAGCAAGCCCTTGAGGCAAAGGAGGGGCAGCCCTCATTCGCTACTATTCTTGCTATTGTTTTTAATGAACTTTGGGGTGTTAATAGCCGTTGGGTGTAGCCGTGTTGATCTAAGGACCCGGGCAGACAAGGTTCTTTGGGTAGATGTGGTATCTTTCACTAGACCGACTAAAAAGTGTTGTTTGCAGGTCTCCGGATACAAACACCCTTCTTCAGGCACAAACTCCCCATGCCTGAAGAGGGGTGTTTGTACCCCAAAGCTTGCAAAGAACAATTTTTCCAACTACTTAGTTGGTCTAACAAAGAAATCACATCGACCCAAAGAACCTCGTCTGCTTTTGGGCTGCTAAGGCTCATCTGACTCCGGGGTGGTAGCACCGAGAACCAGGTCCAAGCCTGCAGTCAGAGGAGCAAAGTCTGGCAGCACACGACTGCTTTTCTATGTGTTTTATGTCCCTGGGGCTTTGCTTACACCTGCAAACCCTGCACTTTGGCCGGCTGCAATGGCCACGGGCTGAGGCCAGTTACTGCGGCCGGCGCAGGGTGAACCATGGGGGGCCTGGGAGCTTTTTTTCTTTTTCTTTTTTAAATCCACATCTCAGCCCAAATCAGCCAAATCCATTCTGGCAAAGCTCAATGGTTCACGTCCGCATGGTGCTGTCAAGCCAGGAATCCACGGTGAATAACTTATCGGATGAACTTCAGCTGCCAAATTTCCGGGCCCGTGGAGAGCCCCGCGGGCCAGACAGCACAGCCCTATGTGCTGGGCTGGGCCTGCAGGATGGTGCAAGGCCAAATCCTGGCACGTGGAGCTGGGCAGGGCCCCAGCATGTGGAGGCCAGCTGAGGCCACATGCGACCTGGTTTGGGCATGTGGGTCAAGCGGAGGCTGCAAGGGGCCTGATCCTGGCATGTGGGGCTGGACAGGGGTGGTGCGAGGCCACAGTGCCTGACCCCAGCTGAGGCGTGTGGTCTGGGGGGAGGCTGCACGGGGCCTGAATCTGGCACAGGGGGCCGCGAGGTCAAGGACCAGGGAGCTGGATGGTTCCTATCCTGGCTTCCCAGCACAGGGCTTTGTGTGAGCAATTTTAAGTTGGTTTGCTGATGCTGCCTGCAGGGGAGATGCTGAGACCTGCCTCCTAGTACCAGGTACCCCAGCACGGGCTTGATCGCTGCCACGCTGCCCCCTCCTTGCGCCCGCATTGTTCCTCTCCCCGCGCACTGGCAGGATGGACGGGGCAGCCTAAACCGACGCTGGCCGTGGCTATGGGTCAGCAGCGCTGGGGGGCGTCTGGGCTCCTAGAAAACTGCCTGCGCATCCCATAGCCAGACGTGGGCCATTCACTGCACTAACAAGACACAGCACGAGAGGAAGAGAAGGGGGATCAGAGCTCACCATCTGTATGATCTCCTCCAGCGTTATCTGATTGTCTCCTGGGTCTTCCTGCGTCAAAGTCCTGCGGCAGAGAAAGGCAGGAGTTACGGCAAGGGGCAGAGCCGGATGCGCCTCGCCGGGTCTGGAGCACAGCAGCTATTCGGGACATTAAACAGCCCGGGTGTGCAAGGAGAGCCTGGGCTGCCGTGCGGGTGCTGTTGCACTGTCTGTGGGCTCGTCGGACCCTACAAACTGCTGTATCCCGAGTCGGACCCTAGGTCCGTGCCCAGTCTCCCGTGTCACATGGCGGCAGGGAGCAGAGGCTGGATGGGAGTGTGAGCAGGGCACGACCAGGGCTTTTCCCCGTTCCTCTGCTACTTGCAGCCTCCAGCATTGAAACTCCAGGCAGCTCGTATGCAGAAGCCGTGCCCCTCACTCCTCATGCCCCTTTCCTCCTCCCACGGGCCTGCCCCATAGTTTCACTGGAAGAGGAAAACCCCACGTGCCACGTTGTGGCCTCGGAGCCGTGCACGCAGCTCCCGCGGCAGGCACCAGGGCCGGCGAGCCCAGCAGCAGAATCTGGCCTTCCCCAGCGACCCGGCCGGCCCCTCCTGCAAGGACCTGGTCCGGGCCAGGACGAGAGCAAAGCTTCAGAGATTGGCACTTGTTGCCCCAACAGGCACCGTGCCACGCAGACACGCCATGCACACGCATGGAGCACGGGCTCAGCGTGACAGGAGGGGGAGATGCTGGCAGCTCCGGCGTGCGGTAGTGGACTCCAGGCATGGTGTCGGTGCCCAGCGGGACTAACTCCGTTTCTGCCAGATTGACGCTGTCATGGGGCTGTCCGATTCCCCCAGCAATCAATGGACTTGTTTGGCCAGGGCGTGCTCGAGGGATTGTGAAAGGTGCCCTGAGCCACCGATATTTGAGGGTCTCTTGCTTGGGGCAGGAAGAAACTAGCTGGTTTCATACCCATGTAGAAGGCAGGGGAGAGTTGCACCTTATAGACTAACCAAGGTAGGTGTATATAATATCATATCATTTTTGTGGCCTGAAGTTCAAGGCAGTTTCTGTCCACAAAAAGCTCGTACTACTTCTCTCTATTTATATATATATAAAGTTATATATACACACACACACACATATATACACATATACATAGAGAGAGAGGGAGAGAGACACACACACACACACACACACTTTGATTAATCTATAAGGTGCAAATCTGCCCTGCCTTGGACTTGACTCCGGACTACCATGACTAACGATAACGACCTCTCTTCGCACCAATGTAATAGAAAGGGGGATTTGGCTTTTTTTGGGTTGCAAGAAAGGCCAAGTGGCCGGGGCTGCATTCGCAGCGATGCCACTTGCACACCGAGGGCCGCGAGTCTTCCCCTCTATTCAGCACCGGCGAGGCCTCCCCTGGACTCCCGTGTCCAGTTCTGGGCCCTGCACTTCAAGGACGACAGGTCAGCGTGGAAAGAGTCCAGCGCCCAGGATTCGGGGCCGAGGAGCACGACTGCTGAGGAAAGGCTGCAAGAACCGGGGCAGCTTAGTCTGGAGAAGAGGAGACTGAGGCGGGATTTGATCACAACCTTCAGGGTGGTTATAAAGAGGCTGGAGACAGGCTTTTCTCTGTGGCCGCAGGGCACAGGACTAGGAGCACTGGCCTCAAGCTGCCCCAGGGGATATTTCGGCTGGAGACGAGGAGGAACGCCCTGGCTCGAGGGTGGTCGAGCACAGGCCCAGGGGCCGGGGTGGTTGGTCAGGGGTGATCCTGCCTCAAGCAGAGGGTTGGGCTAGATGCAACCCCCTGCGGTCCCTCCAGCCCTCCAGCGCTAGCACCGTCACCTCGTTACAGGTACCATTGCTCACGGGGCGTTTCCTCCCCCTGGCTGAAAGCAGGGAGCGGTTCCCAACAGCCCTCAGGCCAGGCACAC